TGTGTGTGTGTGTGTGTGTGTGTGTGTGTGTGTGTGTGTGTGTGTGTGGTTTGCGTATGTGTGCTGGGGTGTCTTCATGTCATGTTTGTGACACCTGAAAGTGTTGGTTTAGTTGCTAACACTGCTTAGGAGCTGAAAGGTCTGTTGTCCTTGACCTTGTTTACTGGAGCACTGAACCACCAGTGTGTGTTACTGGTCCTGCAGGAAGGGATTAGCAGGAGGCTTAAAATAGCAGCAAGTGGGCCTTTGATGCAGCAAAGCAAGACAACAATTCTTCAGCACTGCAGTGCAAGATTTGACTAATATGCCCACATATTTCACTGGTATCACACAGTATAGAATCGACGCAGATTATTGCAGTTTTGTGTTTTCACCACAAGGTGGTGTGCTAACACTGTTTTCCTAACCATGGTTCTCTTTGTCGATAGCCACTGAATATCCACTTAACAAATATTTTAAACCTTTTTTTTTTAAAAAAAACAAAAAGGTTGCCAGCTGTGTGGGTTTAAGTGGATTTAACCACTAATAAGTGAGAACACAGTTTCTACAGAAGGCTCTTTATTGGATTTTTTCCCCCCATTTTGTGCTCTTTTTATTTCTTCTGTTGGTTTATTTCCTTTCTTTTATTCCCTGTGTGTACACTCTTCCCCTCTCTCCCCAGCATGAAAGACAACACATCCTGAGAGTAAGCATGACTTGTATTTTTGTCCAGCCCTGATTATCTTTGACTTGTCTCTCTTGCTCTCAGACTGGTGGGATTTTTTGATATCCCTCCTGCCTGTTTCTCATTCCATTGCCTTCCCTCAGCACTCAGCGTTGCTACCGCCAGCAAGTGACACGCTGAAATAGAAAGCACTGTGCTGTCATGGTAAAGCTCAAAACAAGACCTTCCATATTGTGTTTTCAACACGGTGTAGAAGAATCGTACAGCACAATTATTCTTTCGTAGCGGTAACAGTGTTCAAAGGGTTTGCATTTTACACGTGGACCTGTGAGCACAAGTGAATTTCTATTTCTGGCGTGCAACAGGTGGTAGCACACTGAGTTCCTCACTGTACTAAGCAGCTCAGTAAACCATCACAAGGGCTTCTGAATGCGCCATGGGAATGAAGCATGGTGCTTTAGGTTGTGGCACGTTTTCCTCCTGCCCAGCTCTCTTTCCTGTGTCCTGACAAGCACGGACACTTGGTCTGGCATTAAATCAAGGAGACTACACAAGGCCCTAACTAAACATAGCTGAAACATGAAAAAGGATTCTGAAAGCTTTTCAATACTTCGCTAATGCACTCAGCTGTAATAAACCCATTTCATTTCCTCTACTGACCTACTATCTGGAACAGACCGTAACAAGTGATAATCACTGCTGTAAGTGCCGTCCTGTGGTTCTCAAACTGTGGGGTGGGCCCCCTGGTGGAGAATAGAGGCACCACAAGGGAAGGAGCCACATTAACTTAAATTATTACAGTTTAAGCAGAGGAGGCAGACGCATGAGAGTTTCCTGATGCTATTATTATTAGTTTTATTTCAATAAAATTACCAGAAAATGGACATTATAGTTTGCAAACCACTGGACTGCACTGATAATCTCTCACAGATGTCACTGTCATACTTACAGATGATATATTGCCGGCTACCAGCACAGTGAACTTGTCGTGTACAAGATGGCAGGATGATCTGCCCTTACCTCCAGATTATGTTGCTGTCAACAAATCTCTGTAAAAGGCCAAACTTAACAGTGAAGCCACCCTGCTCATTAATTGCCACGTTTTCTTGTTCCTTTGTCTTGCAGATCTGCATTTTTGTCAGCGGAAGCACTGTGTGCCGTGTTTTTACCCTGAACACGGTCACAACTGTTTACATGCATGCTCCTTCGAGTCCCTTTGTACTACAAGCCTGCCATCTGTATCAGTTCTGCAGCTGAAAACAGTCCACACATATACTGCATATACATATATGCATTAGCTTACAGCGCCCAGATGTTGAAAGGAAATTATTTAGTCTTTAAATAAGACTGAAACGTTTGGTGATGAGTAAATGCTGTGGACACAAAAGACAAATCTACTGTGGCTTACAAGTTAAAAATAGTATTTTGTTTTGACATACAGAGATGACTTGAGCCATCAAATTTAAATCAGCACATGTGATGCAGGGATGAAGCTTTCCAGCATTAACTCACATTAAGCACACCAAGCTAAGAGTTGCACCCAAACAAGCCAGTCAGTCTTTGTAGCTCCGTGAACGTCTTAAGAGTAAGAAGTTCACATTGTTGTTATTTCGAAGTTGCGTTGGCTCAAGACTAAAACTACATAGAGTGTGTATGTGAGACAACTTCAACAGGATAGCTGGCCTCAGGTCTCCGAGCCACAAACAGGGAGGAAAAGCCTGAAAATAAGAAATGTTGATATCGCATTTATGGAGTAATCCCTTAATATGAATATTCAGAATTGGCATTACAATGTTCTCTTCAAACCCCGCTGACAATGTGAATCGGGGTGAAATTCACCATCACCGCTGATTCATAATGGTGAATTTAATTAGCATCAGGGCTACCTTCCTGACATCTTGTACACTAATCTTTACACACATGTGTTTTTACTAAAGCTCAATCAGCTGGAGAAATGTGTGTCTAACAGATCCTTTTTCCATTCACCTGATTCTGACACGTAGGTGTTGTAGCATTCGTGCGCCTGCTTGTCAGACACTGTGTGCATGTGTGTGTGTGCACGTCTACGTGGCAGTAGCGATCGGCCACGACTTCGAAACTACAGTGACTAAACATCCACCTTTCCTAACGCGAGCCCGTACGAGGTAGGCACGGTCACCTCACTTTCTTAGGAGCAGCATAATTGCGTTTTCTTATTCGCTTTGCATCTACACAAATGTGTGGCCTCCAGGAAGTTGGCAGGAAAAGAGAAAACAAGCAACAAACAGCAAGATAAGAGATATCTGGATAGACAGCGCATGAGTTTAGTGCATGGAGACCAACTTTCCATAAAATGAACAACAGCGGTAGTAAAATAGAGAGTTTATTGTTAATTGGATAAACACACTCCTCCGGTACACAGCATAAAACCCCACCCAGGTTTGCAGTACCAGTCTCCTCCATCCCCTACTGTTTGTCCAGCATGTTAATAGTTAACCAGATTGATACACGCTGTGTGTTGGTAGTTCCACTTTATACCCCGTTCGTCCTAGGCGTCACTGTGCCGCCTGAACTCTGCATGCAAAGTCACAGTCAAGTCAATGAACTTATTCTTTCCTTAAGCTATAAAGCTAAAAAATCGTCACGAATACACAGAAATACCACAAGTACGGGAGGAACCTTCATTAAGTTTCATGCTCATGATGTAAAGGAATGTTTTCCAAGAAGCCTGTGATATTTTTCTTTCTGCTTCCTCAACTTACGCAAAGATGGGACTCGTGGCTGGATTCCAGTGCCCAAATATGACTTATAAATTTGTTTGTTTTTTGTTTTGCTCACCAGTCAGACCTCCATAACTGCGCCCACGTTTTTGAGCGCTGAAGCATTTTTTTTGTTAAGAAAATCTATCGATTTTAAGTGCTGCTGAAGTAGAAGCTCTCCATCCTTCTCGCCCACTGAAAGTAGCAGAGGGGGATCAGGTGTCAGGAGTGCATGAATGACCTTAATACCAAGGCAAGAAGGAACCACTCCATACCTGCTGTTCCTTGAAATCGCCAGCGTTCAGCACGTTCAGTACTCGTACTTTGGATTCCGGCGGCCTTTCATTCATAAAATAAACGTTAAAAGCCCAAGAGCAAAGAATTATCGAGCGCGTATTTATTCATTCTCCTCGCTCTGCTATTTAAACCCTGGCTTGCGACCCGGTGCAGTCCCTTTCAAGATTGATGGTGTTGTTTTGCAGCCAGAGGTAACTGGAGGTTATGCTCACATCTGTTCTCTATAACTCAATCACTCGCTCAGACTGTAAGACGGACTCAACACATACTTTGGCTTTTTTTCCCTTTATTCAGTCCTACTTTTTTTCCCTCCAGCTACATCTTTGTTTATATTAATCCTCCAGTCTGCAGAGAAAACTCGCCTCATTCTTTGCTGGTCATAAACAGAGTAATTATCAGGCACTCAGACCTGGACAGCAATACACACACACGCACGCACACACACACACTCGTGCTCTGCTTGCACACTTACGAGGAGGAGTAAGCAGAAAAAAGGAAAAGGCTACTGGCGTGATAATAAAGGACTTGTTGGCTGGGGTTACTAGAGGGCAACGGCCGTAACTCCTCTCCCTGTCTGCGTGAAAGGAAGCGAGAGAGAGGCACAGAAAGACAGAGTGAGACAGGAATCATGTGGCTGGAGTGCGTTGTGTCCACTGCTCAGTGCTGAAAGGGAGCAGCACCCAAGAGGAGGAGGGGAGCGCGGATACTACAGCTTCAAACTGCTGCACACATTGTCTGGCTTCTCTTATTTTCCCAACTTTTCTCGAACTGACAAGTCAAGTCGGCTGTGAGACGAGCCCACTTGGGCGCATTTTTGGAAAACTTGTTTCCATCCAGGCAGCAAAAAGGATCTGGCGCCCTGAATATGGAACTGGATGAGGACTGTACGCTGTCTGACTGGGAGGCCATGCTGGAGCTGGATGAGGCGTTGGCATTGTGGGTTCTGCAGGGTCCAGCTAGAGGGGAATGGGGTTGGGAGTGGGGCTGGGCTGCCTCAGACCTTCAAGACCCCGAGTGGGACAGTGAGGAGATTCCTGCTGTAAGTCGACCTCAGCTCGTAAGCCGAAAACATCACGCGGAGAAGCGATGAAAAATGAAAATGTAACTTTGAAGCGGCAAAACAGAGGATTGCCCAGAGGGTTTTTTTTAGGGAACTTTGTGTGCTGTGCATGCTGCTGTAAGCGTAGTTCTGTGGTAAATCCCCACCAATAATTCAAACAAGTGGTTTGGCTGTGAGTCATTGCTATTTGAAATCTTCTTGAGCTCACATAGGCCTGTTGTTTGGCATGATTGTCCAGTTACTATGTGAGTGACTTCATCTAGGGTTGTTTTAAAAAATGGAAACATGATGATGTCTGCAGAGAACAGCATGATTTTTTTTTTAAGAACACTTTCAGTTTTTTGGCTTTAGACTTCTCCCTTGAGCCTCGATCAAAAGGAATATGTATTTTCTTTTTCTTTCTGCTTAACTCTTGTTACTGTTATGTTTTCCTGAAGTTTTCCTGTTGAAGGAAAGCATCTGGCACGGACAGTGAGAGCCTTCCCTCTGGTACACATTTGGAGATATATCACAGGCTAATCTAGTCAGCTGAAGCCAAGCATAAAGAAAAATACTGGTCATATGAAACAGAATATGCTTCCCGTTTGATCCTAATAAGCCAACACTGTCTGCTTGTGTACACTTGAGGTTTCATCGATGATCCAACAAAAGCCTCACTGTCAGAAATATGTTGCCCTGTAATGCAAATAGGATATCCTGACTCATAAATACCATCATGGCAGCATGTGTTTTGAATGATTTGCACTGGGCTGATTCTTTCCTTGTATTGCGCTTTAAATCGGTTATGATGCGTCCTTTCAGATATCTCGGGCTACGTACCTGTGCTTGCCGTACTCTGTATTTCCATTTGCAGTAACTGTGAAAATCCCCCACAGGATGAAAGTCACGGCATGATTGAAGTAAAGCGGACATACCGATCAAACCTGTGGGTGGTTTTAACAAGGTTATCTCACATGCTCGTGGAAACAAGTAACCCAGGCTGTGTGACAAAGGCAACACTTGTGAAGAGAGCATGAGGATGCGAGTGTGTTGCGTGTGTGTGTGTGTTTGTTTGTGTGTGTGTGGTTTCTGACTCTGCCTGTCACTGCAGGTGCTGAGCCCGACATACAAGCAGCGCAATGAGGACTTTAGGAAACTCTTCAAGCAGCTCCCTGACACAGAGAGACTCATTGTGGGTGAGTGTACACACTGAGGCCATCTGAGTACTGGCAGGGTGCAGCCAGCTTGGTAGTAATTAGAAAATGATTAATCCTTCCGGAGCAGTCAAGTACGGGATATTCCCACCGGCTGACATCATGGCATGACTGTAAATATGTGTCGATTTTTATCACTGAGTAAAATAAATCCCACGATCTTCAGAGGCCTTAGTGTCATTGTTTGAGGAGACCTTTTCCTTTTCGGGCACTCACGTGAACATGTAATGTGAACACAAGTTTTGCTCATTTGTTGTTGAGAGTTTCTCAGTGTTCCTATGAGTACAGTCATTGTTGTAAATGCTTCCGACTAAATCAAACTGCATGTGAACTTGACTCGAACTTGCTGAAATGGACAGTTTTGTGTCCTATTTGTTGTTGTTGTTTCTGTGCTACATGGTGCAGTTCCTGTGCTGTCTTTTTTTCTCATTTTCTATCATGATCTGATTTCATGACTCATCCATGTTGCAGACTACTCCTGTGCTCTTCAGCGGGACATCCTCCTGCAGGGACGACTCTACCTCTCTGAGAACTGGATCTGTTTCTATAGCAACATCTTCCGCTGGGAAACGCTGGTATTGCCACACTTCTATGCATTCTTACTGGCAGTATTGGGTGTGTGTGTGTAAGTAATGGTGTACATTTGTTTGTTTGTTTAAAGCTGACGGTGCGGCTAAAGGACATCTGCTCAATGACAAAGGAGAAGACCGCCCGGCTCATTCCCAATGCCATCCAGGTCTGCACGGACACTGAGAAGGTAAGGGATACGCAAGACTTTCAGTGTGTACATGTCAGTGTTTATTGATGATGTGGCTGCTGATAGAAGCACAAAGATGAAGTGTGAAGTTTACAGAGCTGTGCTCTCTGCTCAGATTCAGCCAAATACTGCCAAACTGATCAGACAGCTACAAATGGATGATGAGATAAAGCACGCCGGAAGCGCAAACCAAGAGTTTCTTAAGGAAAAGCAACAGGATATTCTTCTATGGCCCAGTCAGTCATCTGATCTCAGTGAAACAGAGGCGCTTTTTTAGTTATTAAATGGAAAACTGCATGCAAATGACACAAGCAAACAAGCTGCAAATTAAAGAGGTTTCAGTAACTTTCTAGTCCCTGTACTTTCTTGGGAAAAAACATTTGAATAAAAGCTGAAAGTCTGCATTAGAATCACACATTAAATGTTTGATTTACAGCCCACTGTGGGGTGGTGGTGTGCAGAAGCAAAACTACAAAATTGCGTCTTTTTCCTCAAACATTATGGAGGGCACCCGTAAATGTGTCATAAATATGTGCTTTAGTTTTTATTTTCATTTATTTCAACTAATTTACAAAATTATTTCTCCATTTCATTTTGTATTTTGTTACTTTTGTAGTTTCCACTTATTTAATCTCCCAGAACTGACTCTCTTCCCTTTTTTTTCTGTTTGCATGTCTTTGTACATGATGCAAATTCCTTTATTTATGGTGTTATTTTAGTTCCATGTCGGCTAATACGAGATCGCGTTTTATTCCCTGCAGCACTTCTTCACCTCGTTCGGAGCCAGGGACAGGACGTACATGATGATGTTTAGACTGTGGCAGAATGCGCTGCTCGACAAGGTCAGCAAATCCAATTTGTGACTTTATGCTTTGGTCTATTTTTTTTTTTTTTCTTTTGCCACACATGGGATGACAACAAAAAATTGCTGCATGGTTCCCTCCTCACTCTCTTCGTTCCTTTTAACTGGTTTGTTGATCTTCTGCAGCCTCTGTGCCCCAAAGAGCTCTGGCACTTTGTTCATCAGTGCTATGGCAACGAGCTCGGCCTGACCAGTGACGACGAGGACTACGTTCCTCCCGATGATGACTTTAACACCATGGGGTATGTCTGGTTATGGTGCTGCATCAGTTACTATGGCTACCATTATAAATATTGTCATTTGGTTACCTAATTTCCCAAATTAGAAAATAATTATTCCAGCCAACATGAGCCAGAGCCAGTAAATACTGAGTATTTTCTGTGCCGATGTACTATTAATACAGTCACGGTTTGAATGCTTTTATTCTACAATGCACTCACAGTGAAGGCTAAAGGCTTTGTTACGAACATGTCTACATACACATAAGAGACAGTTTGCCTCAAAATCAAGTTTACATGTTTCTCCCCTAGTGCTAGTTATCGATCTCGACCTTTTTGTGTTGAGCTCATCCGTTTTGGAGAAATTGTCTGTGGAGGTGTCTGTGTTCCTTATGACATAATGTAAATAAATGGCACTTAGCTCACTGTGCTCAGAAGAGCCAAAAAATGTATTTGAACAACTCGTTCATTCGAGAACTCATCACCTACCTCTGCAACATAGAAGCACATGAACCCGTGAGGGTGTGACATGACACAAACGTGTGACATAATATAAACATACAGAAACAATAGCTCTCCCCTCATGGAGCGGTAATGTTAGCAAGTTCCTTTGGTTGGCCAGCGTGAAAAACATTCCTACATAATACCACGAACCATGCTGCCTTTGCAGTGGTTGATTCGTAGACAGTGGCAAGGTCATGCTCGCAATCAGTAGCCATCTGGGTGTGTCAAGTTGACAATAAAATGTCAATAAAACAGACACATCACACAGACTACAGGCAGAAACTCATATATTTGTAACTTAGCTATTCTATTATCGCAGACGTCTCTACAGCTGCAGTAAAGTCTTGGGCTGTCACGTTTCTCCATTGCCTTCAGGTTCAGTGAGGAGATTCCCAATGAGGAGAACGAGATCAACAATGATAACTTGTCCAAGAACAACGTAGAAGCCAAGCCTGAAGGGAGCCCTCCTCCTGTACAAAAGAAGCTCATCCCAAACAGCACCATCCCCACCCCTGGCAACCCCGATACCATCACAGTAAGTTGTTGCAGTTATGCTCTATACTCTGTTTTAACCACGTAAAGCCTAAAACATGAAATCATTGGCAGACAATTCTCTTCTATTTTTTTATTTCAGTGTTTATTCTACCTTTTGACATTTTTCACATTTTTAAAAAGGAAATAACATTTTAGTTTGCATATAAGAGTTTTAATTTGTATCATTATTGCTCCATTCAGTATTTTTGTGCAATTTTTTCAGGTTTTTCAGTATTTAAAAAAAAATCACAAAAATTGAAATCAAATCACATGCAAACCTCAGAATCTCTGAATAACTTCACCATAAATTTCCACAGTTTGACCTCCCAGCTGAGGAATATGCAGACTGCCTGCCAGATGGTGATCTGCTGGCTGTCCCTCTGGTGGTGGAGGAAAAGAATGAGACCAGTGGGCCTGCTGGTCCTGTCCCATCACCGTCACTGGACTTCAATGACAATGAAGACATCCCCACTGAGCTCAGCGATTCTTCAGAAACACACGACGAGGGTAATTGCAGAGAGCGGACGGTCTTTGCTCTCACAGATTTCAGAAGCTATAACAGGACAACTATTGATATCATTTAAAATCAGAACATAAGAAATGTATTTTCTTTATTTGTTATGTGTGTTTCTTTGCCGTGTAGGAGAGGTACAAGCCTTCCATGAGGATCTCAATGGCAGGCAGCATATCAATGAGATCTACAAGTTCAGTGTGGACAAGCTGTATGACATCCTTTTCACGGAGTCCCAGTTCATGAGTGATTTCATGGAGCAGAGGCGATTCTCAGGTCGGTACGCCTGATGTTCCTGCACATGATTCAGTCAAGTCACGTCTGAGGTCCTTGGAAAGAGTGCAAGCTAAAAAGACAGGCTTTATTCAATTCGAACATTTGCTTTTCAGATATAGTGTACCATCCATGGAAGAAGGAGGAAGATGGGAACCAGACCAGAGAAATCATGTACACCATCTCTCTGTCCAACCCCCTGGCTCCCAAAACAGCCACAGTCACTGAGACACAGGTAGAGTCATGTCAAGTAGAAACGTGTTTAATTATTTAAGCTCTGCTGTGGTTTATGAGACACTTAAACTACATTTTGTTGATTTTATCAGACTCTATACAAAGCCAGTCAGGAGAGTGAGTGTTACATCATTGATGCTGAGGTCATCACACACGACGTCCCCTATCATGACTACTTCTACACTCTCAACCGCTACATGCTCACGAGGGTGGCCAAGAACAAGTGTCGGTTACGGTGAGTCATAAGACTTCGTGACATTATTTTTTTTATTTTTTTGGACCATCTTTTCCCGTGTTTAAATTATTTTTAAGTGTTTCTTTTCATGGTTTATCTCAATTTATTTAGCATTTTATTGCAAAGACAAAACCTGTGTATAAATACAGTCATCCTCTTCTCCTAGGATATCAACAGAGCTGCGTTACAGGAAACAGCCATGGGGGCTGGTAAAAGGCTTCATAGAGAAGAACTTCTGGAGTGGGCTTGAAGAAAACTTCCGCCATCTTGGTAAACTCCATGGTTGTTTGGTTGGCTGTTTCGATTGGTCACATCAGTCACGTGGTTTTCTTAACAAGAAGACTCAGAGAGCACAACTCAAAGAGCAAGGGCTAAACTAAAACCTTTATTTATGATGCTTTTATTACAACATGCTGACGTCAGCTTGTTTTTATTAGAATACGATGACATCAGCCTGTTATGGCGTCACTGTGAGCTCGTAGAGTATCGTATTTTTTCAAAAAAGGGGGTGTTATGCTCGATATGATCTTGGGCGCTAACAATGAAGGTCAAGCTCAAATGCTCAGCCAACATGGTACCTGTCCTCCAAGGCCTGGTATGTTGTTGTGAACTCGTGAAGATGATCCATAAAAATTGTGGGTAAAATAGTTTTTTTACTGATTTTAACATTTAATGTGATCTTGACCCTAGTTATACCTTAATTAAATCAGCTGAAGCTGTTATTGGTGTCTACCATCACACAAAACTTTCACAATGATATCTTAAAAACTTTGGACACTGGACTGCAGCAAACAGACAAACAGACAGACAAAGAAATGGAACCGATTACATACTCCCCCCGTTCAAGGGGAGAAATAATGGCAAAGATAGACTTAATCTAATCATTGCTTAACTCTTAAAGAGAGAACAAAGCCATGTGGATGTTTTCATCAAACTGAAAGTGCATGGGTGTTATATATATTTATATGTAACAGGTGTGTTTTTTCTCTCTCAGAGTTGGAGCTGTCCAAGCTGGAGGAGATACTCATGGAGACTCACCAGCTGTCTCCAAAGGCAAAAGTGGTGAAGAACTCCACGGTGAGGCGCAAGAAGAGGCCGCTTCCCCACATGCGCAGCCAGCATCTGGATGAGGCTCTCAGCCCTGTTACCACGCCGACAGATGAGGAAGTGATCCAGAGGATCAAACACGTGGCCGGCTCCACGCAAACGAGACACCAGAGTCCAGAACACCTGCCCGGAGGCTTCGCTCTGTACAGCGTCTCCAAACTGCTGCTCATCATCAGCTTTGTGTAAGCAGCTCATCAGAGCACGCGTCATTCCTGTGAGGATGGCTGCACAGTTGTCCATCAGGATGTAAATGTACATTTGACACATGCTGACATGACTTATTTTAATTTCCTTAGAAATATGTCATTATTGTTCTTTTGAGTGTAACTCCTTTCTCCTCTTCTTTCATTGCCATCCATAGGATCTGTCTCAGGTACACATATATGTTCTCTGATATATAGACAGATTACAAATTATAGAAAAACTAACAAACTGTCTTAGTAAGGTACTGGGCCACTCTATGTCGGCCGATTGATTGGCTTTAGCGTTCCTTAGCAAGTTTGCTCTTTTATTTAATGTCTCAATGTCGATGGAGAGTGACTGACTGACTGATGCACAGTCGAAAGTTTCCTGTAGGCGTTCAGTGATGTTGAACTCTCATTACTCTAAAAAAAGCTTTGTTCCCACATGTGTTTACATATCAAACGATTTAGCGACGCCCTTGTGTCCTTTATCCTGTCAGGGAGGATAAAGTTTGCAAGTAGATCCAAACTATGTGAGCAAAATGCCTCCAAAGCATAACAGAGATTCATTCAATCATTACATTTGTCATCCGTCTGTATTCAGTATTTATTGAAAATCATCCCACAGTCAAAGTGTACTTTCAGTATACATCAGAGTGCTCATACCAGCTCATTAGAGGCATTATGAATGATTTCAAAGTGAAGCTGAGCCCTCGTTTGTTGACTCTTTCTTCATTTTTGTCTCTTTGCCCTCCTCCAGCCTGGTTCTGCTTGTGTTCCTCAACATGATGCTTTTCTACAAACTGTGGATGCTGGAGTACTCTGCACAGTCCTTAACAACCTGGCAAGGTCTGCGGTTTCATGAAAGGTAAACACACCCCAACAGATCCATGTGTACACACGTTTTTTTGCACTGTTTTTTTATTACTCTTTACACAGAACTTTCTGTTAAACACATTAAAGATACTCAAACACTGTAATACAATTCCAGACGTAAACAGGCACACACATCCGTAAAGTAAACTGCATCCATATGGCCTCGAACAGGAAATCTCTGTGCTTGCTTACTGAAAAGTTTTTTTTAAAAACTGCTTGTTAGCAGTCCCTTAAAATGGAAATAATGCTTCAGTGCCTGCACCCTTAGTTTGCTGTGTGTGTTTATCTGTGTGTGTGTTTTTCCAAGTAAACTGCCTCAGACGCAGATGGAGTGGGCCCAACTCCTGGAGGCACAGCAGCGGTACCACGATGCTGAGCTGCAAAAGTGGAGGGAGATTATCAAGTCATCCGTAGTGCTGCTGGACCAGGTATAGAAAAAGTTTCTTTTTTTACAGCAGATAGTAAATAATAATATAATTAACATTATTTAAATTAAATAAGATGAATAATAATTCTGAAAATGTAGTTTTACTTTTATTTATGTGTTTCAATATTTTTAATAGTTTCATTTTAAATATTAGTGTCATTTTAATATTATTTCTGCCAGAAGAGATTGTACGTGTTCTCATAAATATATTCAACTCTGGCCAAAGCTTACATTTGCTAACTAGCTTGATTTTCATTTATGCTATTGCGACCATGTTTGTGAGAACTTTGAGAAGCTAATGAAGTGGCTGGAGGGTGTTTATCTATATTAGAACTAAATAAGAATGTCAGTAGATTTATTAAAATGTATAAAAAGTGAAATGAATTGCCCCCACCTTACAAATTCCACAAATTCAACTCCTAGAGCGCTGTTACGAGAGTCAGTGCCAACTCCTCCTCCTGATATTTAACCTCCTAAGACCCGAACTCTTCCACGGCATGCATCTTTAATTTCTCTTTGATATTTGGGCATATTGGGGCCCGATGAATGTAAAAACAAAGAATTACCAAATTTTTTTTTTTTTACCTTATTTTTGTTTTTAAGAAAAATAAGAGCCATATATGAGGATATTCATTTAAAATGTCGATAGAACAGTAGCAGTATAATGTCCTCATAAGTGGATATCAGGCCCATGTAGAGCAAAATTGAGTATTTTGGTCTAAATAACCCAAAATGTGATGTCCACATATGTGGACGACAGGTCCTAGGAGGTTAAACTGGATTTCACACTGCCCACTTGGATAATGGATATTCAAGAATCAGAAAATACTTAATTAAAAGGAAAAAAAGGCCTCTCTACTGTGCATTCATACCACATTTAATAGCAGCTTTTCTAAGTTGAGGAATTTTCTAGACACTGATTGTGAAGTTGTAACATTTCCACTAATCATCAATCACCATCAATGCAATTTTTCAAATGTCACCAATGATAAAATGATTAAATTCACTTTAAATAACTTTTTCACCTGTTATTAAAATGGAGAAAATACTATTTAACATCTGTTCCTGTTGTTTTGCTTCTTCAGATGAAAGACTCTTTATTGAACCTCCAGAGAGGCATTGGTTTAAGGGACTACACCTCTGAGACTGAGGAGAAGCGGAGTCGCTATCACTGACACACTACCATCAGGCCATGAGGGCATGCTGTGCAATACGGGACCTGTTTTCTTTTTGAACCAGTATGCCATCAGCGGCAAGACAGAGAGAGAACAGAGGGGGGTGGTGGGACCAATAGTGAGCGGATCCATGGACATAAAGAGAGGAACAGTCATCTCTAGCGTATGGAAGTTAAAACCACCCCCAGAGGATGAAACCACGGACAGAAAGGGTCCCGATCACACACAGGAATCGAGGTATCCCCAACAAGAGGAAGTGCAAGACTTGCTTCCTCTAAACACCTTGGGGATAACCGTTTCCTTCTACTCTCTTTATTTCCAAGTGCATCCTACTGTAAGCCATGTGAGCCAGGAGCGTGGCGGAGAGAGCGATGGAAAACTACTGCATGCATTTAGACAACTTATCTCCCCTCAGTCAGTGTTAATGTGGTCCAGTTCCAGTCTATGTGTGTCTGAAAAAGAACAGAAGAAGAGGAGAGATTGAGTCAAAGAAAAGGGGAGGGGGATCCTTTTGAGTCTTAACGGCTTTCTACACTCTCCGACTGTTCCAAATCAATCGTACCCTAGAGGTCCTCGCTGCAGCGTCCCTTCAGTAAACCTCCAGGTGATCAGAGGACAGGTTCACTCCACGAGAAAAGACGTATTGTAGCTAGGAGATCAGCTTCCCTGATCAGCCCTTATTGCCTTGTTTGAGCCTGGACTGTGTGGTTTCTGTCCGGGCTGGTTCCCTGACATACCGATGAGTAGAGCGTAAGATTGATAAGATGCGATTCGCAGGCTCGGTTTCTCCCGTCACAGTGTTACCTACCTTATGTCGCATTATTTCTCATCCTTCTGATGAAGTCGAATGTATTAGTCTGGGGAAAAAAAGAAAAAAAAAAAAGGCTGGACTTTGATCACAACTTGATAAACTTTGAAACGGGGACGCTGCAGCTAGACCGACCAGTAGGGAGTCCTGTGTTCTTACATGTTTTATTACTAAACTGTGATTATATCTCTTTAAAAATGTTTCAGATTGGAAAGAGGTCATGAATATATTTGAAATATATAAGAATATTTCATTATTTAATAATATATATATATATATATATATATTTCAAAATATATAAAAAAACATTACCTATATTTATTGTTAATTTATGTACATACAGAAATGATCAGAGCTCTAGACCAGTTAAAGAATTTCTAACAAAAAGTGTTTTCTTCTAAAGATGCATGCCAGATATGTCTGTGACATGTCCAGTGTGCAAGTATGATTCTTCATTCGCGCGATTGTGTTCGCGCACGTGAGCGTGTATATGTGTACGTGTACGTGTGTGTGTGATTATGTGTGCAGGAATTTTTACCATTCCACATGTCTATGTTTCTTTTCTGGCTCTTCCAGCTGGACTGCCTTTTTTCTTTTTTTAATGCTGATGTGTTTGGATGCTGCCTTGCATTAGTCCCACCAGGGTGCAGCTGCACATTTGAAGAGTTTTGTTCCAAAATGATGTATCAGACAGCTGGAAACAGCCACGATCGATTGGTTAGGTAGTGTCACATGCACATTTGGCTAAGAAGCTAAACGATGCCTGGCTCGACCCCAGGAGGAAACACAAACCCCTTTGAGGTTGTGTCAGTAAGAGCATCTCGCTTAAAATCAAAAATAACCGGAGCTACCTGCTGTGACAACCCTTTCTAAATAAGGGCAGGAAAAAAAACTTCAAATATATATTTTTTGCAGATTGCAAAAATGAAATGGATACATGCTATTTTGGAAATGAAGCCTTCGTGCCCCCTGTGAGCAACTCTTCTGTTCATTTCACCCCATTAGCTGCCGCTGTTTGCTAAACAGGAAGAGGTTTTGGCATTTTAGGAAATCTGCACATTTGCTGTAAGGTTGGATGATATGATCGGATGCTACTGTCACGTGTGTAAACTAAGTAAGTAAATAAGAAACAAAAAGAAATTAAGCCTGACAGTTTTTGTTCACTCTTTGTAAGTTTAGATTTACCTGATCTACCTTCATATTTGGCATCTTGGTAGAATCTTTTCATCTTACTCTCAATAAAAGAATAAATAAAAAGTGAGAGCATAAGCACATTCCTCAAAATCGAAACCTCTTCCTTTAAAGATACCTGCGTTAACTCAAAATGTACTCTACCTTTCCCCGTTTCAAGTGTCTGTCTTGGATGCAGTGAAAGCATGAGAATTAACTTTATGCAACTAAATTGAACCAAAAGAAAGTAGAAATGTACTTTCACAGAGAACGTATTGTTTTAAATTAAGTATTTATCATGTATGTCATATATATATATATATATATATGTATATATGTCATGAGTTTCTTCTCTGAAGTTGCTCTATTTCTCTTCAGGTTTCTCTCAGACCAAGATTGAATGTGATGACAAGGGTGATGGATGGTGTGACATGTGCTGCTGGCCCACAGAACCAGGTGAGTATGCTGTCCATGTGCTCTGCAACAATGAGGACATCCAACACTCTCAGTTAAGATCAGTTTT